TGTAGCGGTGGTAGCGTTCGGATCAGCGCCAGCCTCCAGCAGCATCGCTGCGAGCACTGGTAAGTTGCGAAAACACGCGGCCTGCAGGACGGTGAGACCTGTACGCGGGGACCTGGACTGGAGCCAGTCTGCAGGCTGAGAGTTCTCCACACAGCGCAGTTTCGCCAGTAGGACTGAGACGCCCAGTCTCTGGTTGCAGTTTAGAAGAAGGTCGTGGAGGTTAGCATCGCAGCCACTGTCTTCGTCCGTAAAGGTGCTCTCAGTTGGGCCAACTCCAGGCTGTCGTGTAAAGGCCCACATCCTTGGTTTTGGAAACCAACAAAAGGACCAATGAGTATGACTGTGAAGACCACTATTCAAGAGGTTAACGGTACGAACAGGATATGTCGAACAGCAGAACAGATAATAGTAAAAAGTCGTTCGGAAAACACCGCTTATATGCATGGCGGGGAGATATAGTGGCATTTTCGTTTACCAACTACTAGTTAACCACCCAGCTTCTACAATATCCCAACTCCGTTAATTGCACAAACATAGGTCAAGCGTCTACATGGCGAGACAGGTCAGGAAAAAGTAGCAACGTTTGCCCGACAGACGCCTTATTGTGCACATGCGTTACAGAAAGATTAGATGGCATAAAACCCACGGAAACCATTGCCATGCAGTTGCATGTGCACAGACCGCTTGTTTAGGAAGCGTAACGCAGAATTGTGGCCTATTTTGGGTTAGATTGTGGAGAGCAGGTTTTTTCGTGGATATTTACTGTATTAAGCAGAGAAATGCACATAATTCAGTGGATTGGACCTGCAATCAGTGAAACAGTACGAACACCCCGAATAAACACAACGACCGGCTCCGATGTTCACTAAGAAAACTGCCAATATTAACGCCTATGCAGTGCGCGAAGGGTGCATCGTTCGTGGCAAGTAGTTGAGGCCGCAAAATGTGTCAACAAATACTAGCGCTAATAGCGGTGTCGGATAGAACTGCTCGTCCCACATGAACATCGAGTTGGACGAAATCGGAGTCGACGAAGAAGGCAATAACTAACCGTTATCGCTGAGAACATCCGTCCGAGGCAGTTCTCTGCTCAGACGGCTCAGATGGCTCAAGCCAGGTGCGGCAGTGATTATTCCCTCCGCCAAGTCAAAAGATAACGGCAAAGTAGACTAGGAAGAATCGGAAGAAATACCCGGTTGAAATAGGGACCTTTATGGAGCAGATGTCAAACATTGATGACACTCAAAAACTCCACCAAATTATCCGAAAAGTTAGCGGTGAGCTTTCTACACAGAATGACACTGTTCGCGACGCGAGTGGCGGCTTCCTTGGTGATAAATCGGCCAACGTCGAGCGCTGGCGTGAGCACTTCGAGCACCTTTTCACCCCAGCACCCTTCCGTTCCCATTTACAGCGGAGTCTCCTCCCTCCTTCTGAGGGAGACGTCACGGATGCCATAAAAAGGTTACGCAACAAGGCATCAGCAAATGATGTTAAACGGGCTGAAATCAAAAATTTTTGTGCCGACACTGGCTCCATGAACGGAATGAGCAAAAGTGAAGATACGAGGTCGGTCCTGATGCCTGGAGCTCAGGCATCCTAGCACATGTCCACAAGAAGGGATATACTACGAGATGCGACGTTGTTTCGAAGATCTTTGCTATTGTCCTCAGGCGATTCTATGATGCGCGTTATTCTAGAAAAAGGCTCAATCAATTCGGAAACCGTGGTTGGCATGGATTTTCGAACCAGAGATTCACACTGAGAGGCATCCTTCAATTCCGCCATAGCTCCAACAAAAAACAACCATACGCTATTGACTGAATGCTCGAGAAGGCCTTCAATGAAGAGAATGGTGTTGAGTATGGGCCCGGACGCCAACTGACTGATCTCGACTACGCCGAGGATATCGCCTTATGAGCTTCAGACCTTGACCATCTGTATCTATGGTGTCATGGAGGAGTGAGGTAGCTAAATCAGTCAGTTTGTCCATAAACGCTGGGAAGACTAAAGTGTCTTTATGCTGCATCCCTGCCTCTCCAGTTTAGTGGCTGTTTACTTGGAGAAGTAGACGGTTTCAAATACCTCGGAGCGAGGTTGCTGCCCAATGGACAGAGTAAGAATGACATTGTCTCCCGAAATTAGGCAGCTAATCGAGGTTTCTCAAGCTTTAGAAAGTGCCTTTAGACCCCACGCAATATTTATATTGCCATGAATGTTCGCGGTCTGTCTTCCTCTACGGCCATTAATCCTGGGCTATGCGTGTGGAAGATGAAAGAAAACTGGAGGTATTTGACCAATATAGCTTGAGGACCATCCTTCGAGTGAAGTGCACCTACTTTTTCTCAAATGAGACTGTCCGCACTCCCTGTGTGATGTCCTCGATTCGGCACTTTCACCCAGCTGGGAGCGGCGAAGAGGGGGTCAAATAAAAGAAAATGGATTGAACTGCCCAGGTCTGCTGCTACGAATCATCGCGCGTGAAGAGGTAAAATCAGTGACATCGAGGCCGACTAGATCAGACATGATCGCAACCGTAAAACATAGAAGAGGTTTGTACAAACTTCGTCCTAGTACTCTGCAAAGTCAAGGCAAAACACGAGCTAACATAAAAAATAACTACATGTACGTCAAAGCATAGTCACTCGCCCTATCTTACGCATGTTCAGCAATCTGTCTGTTTACGTTGTTAGTTTCGCGAGATAGTAAATATTCAGGAAAAGCAGATGGTCATGCGGTTTCCGATTTCACCCCAGTAAACGGATTCGACTACAATAGACGGTATTCTGGCCACACACGAACCACCGAGCAAACTCCTGCATTCGCCCATTTCGGATGTCACGTAAACGTTACACATGGAACCTATGTACCAGCAAGTTCTTCTTCGAAAAGGAAACCCCTCGCCAAACTGCTGGAAACAAAAGCTAGGGAAGTCATTATTCCTGTTTGTGTTTATTTTTTTATACAAATGCCCCGTTTTACTTATACCACGGCCGGGATTGATGATTGAATAGCTAGAGTGCTACTTGATGCAGACATTATAATCCAATTACGCATAAGTTACATTTTCTTGCACCCTCTAAGGGAACTTCGGGCATGCTGCAGTGTCTTCAGATACATTCAAACCAGCAGATCCATTTCAGCCTACCACGAAAGAATATGCACTCATAGTGGCGTCCAAATTAACCCGATATGTACTATTAGGACTCAACCTTCAAATAATATACCACTATCATTAGATTACTAGGCCAAGTGTTGCTCCTCACCCCCTGATGCTTCTATATCCCTACAGCACAAGACATAGCCGATAAAGGAATGGTGCGTTCAGCGACTGCTGCCACGGAAGACACATAGTGGCACTAAAGACAGTATGATTCACTGTGTGAAATAGCGGTGATTAGGTACATCCCACAAACGTACACAACGGAACAGATTTAGTAATTCGTGTGGGAGGCCATCATAATCTCGGAAAGAAGTTAATGACCTTCTGGACAGCATGCTTGTAATGTAGAGAGTCGGACCTTGCACATCAGCTTCGGCCTAATCAATTACGCTATTTTCGAAAAAAGACCGACTACCAGTTTTATCGGCTTATGTAACCTGAAGGCAATTAAAACTCGGGGCTCAAAATATCTCAAGAAACACTTGACGACATGACAGTCGAAAAGTGGAGCG